CAACACTGTAAATAACGATGTAAACAACAACAACAACACTGTAAATAACGATGTAAACAACAACAACACTGTAAATAATGATGTAAACAACAACAACACTAAATAACAATGTAAACAACAACAACAACACTGTAAACAACAACAACAACAACAACAACAACAACAACAACACTGTAAACAAGAGGGTTCAGGAGCTGAGGACAGATGAAGGGACAGAAACCCTCCTCCTGGTGGGGAGCAGCAGAGCACAGCTTCAGCTGAATCAGAGAGGAGGAAGAGGAGGAGGAGCGGATGGATGCCCGCCTGGGATCAGCCACCAACAGAACCAGCACCGACCCTCCTCCGACCGGGACCAGCTCCGGGTTTAATCATTATTGTGGGAATGGAAGAGGAGGGCCTTGCTTTGATCAACATGGCGGACAACAAAGCGCAGGGACTGGGGTAGGAGCGGCGGCGCACACGGTACACGGCAGCACCATGGACCAGGTCCACAACAACACCCACGACGGCTTCACCAGCGGCAGCCCCTACAACCACTACCCGAACTACCGGGCCGGATACGGCACCAGTGGTTACGGCGGCATGATGAGCCCCTCCCGGCAGGGGAACAGCCTGATGGGCCCGGGCAGCAAGGCGGCGATGGCTGCTCCCAGCTCCGGGGCTGGAGGCGCCGGAGGGTTCCAGCGGTTCCCCGGACAGGGTCAGCAGCAGCAGCACCCGTCGGGGGCCACGCCGACCCTAAACCAGTTATTAACGTCTCCGAGCCCGATGATGCGCGGCTACGGAGGCGGGTATCCAGATTATAGTAATCCTGCGGAAGACACGGGCTCCCAGTACGGTTCAGCAGCACACGGCTGGGGGGGACAACAGCGGAGTCAACCTCCGAGCATGAGTCCCGGGAGCAACGGGCCGAGCAGCGCCAGATCACAGGTGAATAACAGAATTAATCTATTTTTTCCCCGATAGAGACACCTGCTTTCATCTGTTACCTCTCTGCTAGCCGTAAAGCTAACAGCTGGGAGACTTTATTTATCCAACACGACACACATTTTTTCGTATTTTGGTCCATTCGCTACCAAAAAATAGTCATGTTTGTTCTGTAGTTACACAAATAACAGCCTCTGGAGTTAGTTTATGTTAGTAGATTTATTGTTTTCGATTTTGTGTCCAAGGTGACTCCGTTTCTAGCCTGCTAGGCTAAGCTAATGTTAGCCTGCGAAGCTAAGCTAACATTAGCGTTGTAGCCGCACAGGCCCCGAACTGGCTCCACGTTTGGAATCTGTCCGGTAAACGAGCAGATATATGAATCAATGTGTATTTGGTGTAAATAAATAAAAGCCAGAAGCACTGAGATGTGCTGACAGGAGTCATCGTTCAGCTGACAGCTCATTTCCTTACTGACACCGACTAACCGCTTATGCTAATTAGCCTGTCTTGTGAAGTGATTAAAAACAGCCGTCAGTCAGGTTGTTTTTCTCCGCTTCCTGAGCCTGAAAGCGGCTCACGGAGCGGCCTGGAACCCGGTGTTGAACACAGAAATGACCCCCGGAATACGGTGACTGCATTTAGCCTTTGATATGTCCTTAAATTTAATGAAAAAGCTCATCGTGTCCGGATCTCCACACAGGAGCCCTGACCTTCACACATGCAGATTAGCCATGTGCCCATCAGCGCCGGGGTAAATATCCCGCTGACCCCCGGAGGAGGCAGCTCCTCACACCGGTCCGCCTGGGCTCGTATACCGCACAGCTCTCTGGAACATTTATTTCAAATAACAACTGATTGTATAAGTAATTATCAAAAGTTTTTTTAAGTGCTGAAAGGAGAGTTTAAAGCTTAACTCATAAAGTTTTGGATTAAATATAAAAAAATTTGCATCTATGCAATCCCATTTATACTGGAGAGCACATTAATATTTATAACAAACTATTATAAATTGTAAAGACCTCAGGGTTCCCCAGGAGGATCTTTTTAATAGGGCTGTGTATTGGCAAGAATTTGGCGATACGATACATATCATGACAGAGGGGTCACGATACGATATATCCCGATGTATTGCGATACTATAAGCAAGGCAATATATTGCGATACATTGCGATTTTTTTGTCCAAAAATTCTATTAAATAAAAACCTCTTACTGAAAAAAAGGAAGAAAAGCTCATGTTTACTCACAATGCTAATGCTACCCTTACTCTCTGGCGCTCAAGAGGTAGAGGAGCCAGATGGCTGGCTCACTGCTGCCAACTAGCGGTCAGAGGATGAATTACAACATAAAAATGAACGGCTGGCAGGAAAGTTGACGTTTTAAACCTTAATAAAAAATCGATACAGGGCTTTAGAATATCGATACAGTATCAGGAAATGAAATATCGCGATATTTCAGTGCATCGATATTTTCTTACACGCGTACTGTTTACATCTGATTATCGATCAGCTGATCCTCTTCAGTTTGTTTACTCTCATCAGACCTGGTTTCTCAGAGACCACCTGTAATCCTCCAGCTGCTGACGCCAGAACAAAAATTCTGTTTGGATGTTTTTTAACCTGCTGATAAAATCCTCAGAACTAAAAGTCTAACTTTTTGTTTTTGTTTAGTCCTTTTTTATTTTGTTGCTTATAAAGCTGTTTGTAGAACATTTTGACACTTTATGTTGGAATAAAATAATGTAAACGTGAGACTCCTCCACCCAGGCTGCGCTGTCGAGCGCAGATTCACAAATAAACGTTTAATTAAAAAAACTGGACTTTTGAGGTTAAACAGATGTTCATAATTAATTTCAATAAATTACAAGTTAAGAAGGGCATGGACATTTCTATTTTGTATTGAAGAGTAGGTCTGTGTATTGGCAAGAATTTGGCGATACGATACATATCATGACAGAGGGGTCACAATACGATAAATCCCGATATATTTCAATACTGTAAATAATACTGTAATATTGCGATTTTTTTTGGTCCAAAAATTCTATTAAATAAAAACCTCTTACTGGGAAAAAAAACAAAAAACAAAACGAAAAACCAAAATTCACTGTCTCAGAAAATTCTAATATTACAGACATACTTTTGATACATTTAGCTGTGTTCTGCTTTGTATGTGTTTTATTTTATTTGTTTCATATTTCATCCATGTTTTCAATTATTAGACTAAATTTGCCAATAAATAGTTTGAAAATATATTTTTTGCAGCTTTTAGTTTTTAATATTAATTAACAATATGGTCACCAAACACTTAACAATAGCCTTTATGTTGTCATAAAGTTTCTTCATAGAGTTTCTGGGATCAGCTGACCTGCATCCAGAACCTGATTTGCAGAACTGTGGGTCGAACAGCAGGGCAGGTCCCGAAGAAAACCAGTAGAGAAATTGAGAAGCTAAACGAGTTAAACAGTTTTTGAAGCGAACACAGCAGGATAAAGTATATGGACTTTGACGCGATCATCAGGCGGATATTGAGAGCAACAGACAGAGTTTTATGTCACGGGGGGAGTGCCGAGCTCACTCGAGGTGATAGACGCATGCGCTATGCATAACGTGAAAGCTGACTACAGTTGGAAAAAAGAGCGCACAAGACACTTAATTTGGCTTAAAATACGGACATTGTGTCAAATCAGTAACTGTTTGTAACCTTACCTTAGCTTAGAAGGCAGAGGGTGCATGAAGCTAATGTTTACTTACAATGCTAATGCTCTCTTAAGGGCTCGACACACGGGAGGCGACGTCGCTCTCTCTCCATTCATTTCCTATGGAGCCTGTGCGGTGAGGCGACAATCGCTTGCCCTCCTCCAGCTAAGCGACCGGCGAAAATAGTGCATGTGAAATTTCACTCTCGTACACGTAGACGTGCACACGTGAGCTTGCGATGCGACATATGAAAGTTGAAAAATGTTCAACTTTTGTCGCTGTCGCTTAGCGTACAACCAATCAGCGAGGGTTTCATTGACTGACCAATGAGAGGAGTGTATGCTACACACTGCAGTTAGCTAACACTTTCACCAAGTGATTACTAAAAAGCTTTGTGGGAATTTATTGGCACCAGGGTGAAGTTTATGGTAAGTTTTTCCTCATAAAACTGTATCTTGATGTTTGTTTGTTTGTTTTTCAATATCATTAGCATCGCAAGATTTGTTTAGTTTACACGTCCGTAATGCACACCCGCCTTCAGATCCAAGAACCAATCAAATTTTGCGAAGACAAGCGACCTGAGAGCGCGATTCGCAACGCTGCTATCGCTATCGCGTCCCGTGTGTCGGGTTTCACCCTGGCTGCGATGACAGCCGTTAATCGCTGTAGATTGTCGCTGCCCGTGTGTCGAGCCCTTTACTCTCTGGCGCTCAAGAGGTAGAGGAGCCAAGTGGCTGGCTCACTGCTGCCAACTAGTGGTCAGAGGCTGAACTACAACATAAAATTGAATGGCTGGCAGGAAAGTTGGCATTTTAAACCTTAATAAAAAATCAATACAGGGCTTTAGAATATCGATACAGTATCGGGAAACGAAATATCGCGATATTTCAGTGTATCGATATTTTCTTACACCCGTATTGAAGAGATATCGAACAGTGAGACTAAAGTATCGAACCTGTGAAGTACCTCTGACATAAAAAATGTGACTGAAATTGTCCAAAAATGAAAAGTTCTATCAGAAATACTTTAAACAAAACATAAAATGAACTGATATTTAAATAAAACACTGTTCTGGTTCTGTAAGTTTGTTCACGTTGGCTCTAAGTCTAAAATAAAACTCGGCGATTAACTGAAGGTTGAACGGGTGTTTGTCCTCGTCTTCAGGTGCCGCCCATGGACCCGATGGTGATGAAGCGCTCTCAGCTCTACGGGATGAGCAGCAGCCCGTACCCCCAGCAGCAGGCTGCGCCGTACCCCGGACAGCCCTATGGATCCACGTTCCCCCACAGATACCAGGTGTCGGGCCGGGCCCAGGCGGGGCTGGGCGGGATGCAGTACCCTCAGCAGCAGGTAGGAGGCGCTTCGTCTTCATCTGTACTTCCTGTTGTTCCAGGAAGTTGAATTTAATTTATAAAAAGCCTAAGGTTCTTTTTAATCATAGAATCACAAAGTTCGGTTTGTTTTGAAACAATTTAACCCAAAAATGTTCAGTTTGTCACAAAGTAAGCACCTGAAGATTAAAACAACATAACTTTTTTTTTCTGAGGTTTGGGCTGAAATATTTGTAGTGTTGAGATGTGGTTTGTTTTAGTGCTGAACCAAACGATTTTTTTCCAATCGATTAATCTAACGTTTATTTTTTTGATTAATCGATTATTCTAACAACAAATCTATAATTTATTCTGATGTGACTGCACTGGATATTTAAAATGTTTTCATCAAATTAACAAGAACAGTTCTTTAATATTGTAATATTTTCTGTAATAGTTTTTTCATGGACACAAAATATGCACTCTAGAGTCAATTCTTTAAAAAAAAGCAATCTCAACCAAAGCATATAAAATTCAAGTAAAAGAAATATAGTACAAGATGTTAACAATC